GCTCCGCTACAGCGGAACCCGTCAGCGAAACCGCGGTGTTTGCTCCGCCCCGCTTTTATCGGCGCCGGTGCCCCCGGCGGGCAGGAATTCAGCCGCCTTGAAAGAGGTTTTTTCTAAAGGTAGACTTGCCAAGCACACCCTGTACCACTCGGCGTTCAATAAAGAGCTGCCGTTCGCTTTTTCAAGCACCTCTTATTCTTCTTCTTTTTTCCTACTACGTTATTATTTAGAATCTATGAGGAATCTCTTTATTCTACCGTGCTTATTCTCCATCAAAAAGTGACAAAATAAACCCTTTACCACTTCCCCGTAAAAACTCGGGATGAATTAAACGATACCGTTTCCTCTACCCTTTCACTTCAGCTATGCGCCGAGTTTCATTTAATGAAACACTGTATCCCAAATGTCGCGCATACAAGGACTAATCCAGGCTGAGCTCTCGGAGTAAACAAGCTGCTTTGGCTTGCGGCCAAGTTGCTTGAGACTGACAGCTGACGGTTAAAGGGGACGACGCTGTTTTATCAGAAACTGGAGAACCTTAATCACCATAAGGCTGTTTTATAAGAGAAAAGCCCACACAAACAGAAAAACTTTATTTCATATCAAAACACCGTAAAGGTCACAGTGCATATTTAGCTATACTTACTCAAAACCTAGAGCAGAGACAACCACTAGAAAAAGAGGAAGGGTAAACTTTAATATCTTTATTATTCTATTAGGCACTTAGCATTCTTCTTACAGACCTGCACGATAAACAAGGGGGGGTAGTGAACACACGAGACGACCCACATCATTACTAGCACTTCAACGGAAGGTTTTTCCTACGACTAACTGCTACTATCTACATCACGGGAAATAAACAATGCTAAATATAAGTACCACTCACCGAATCAGCGTGAACGACTCTTTTACTGAAAACGTGGGTGGCTCTTAAAAGAGCCTTTGGTTTATGCGATCCAACAGAGATTTACTTCGAGCTGGTGTACTTGGTGACAGCCTTGGTGCCCTCGGAAACTGCGTGCTTGGCCAGCTCACCCGGCAGCAGGAGCCGCACGGCCGTCTGGATCTCCCGAGAAGTGATGGTGGAGCGCTTGTTGTAGTGCGCCAGGCGCGAGGCCTCCCCAGCGATACGCTCGAAGATGTCGTTGACGAAGGAGTTCATGATGCCCATAGCCTTGGACGAGATGCCCGTGTCGGGGTGCACCTGCTTCAGCACCTTGTACACGTAGATCGAGTAGCTCTCCTTCCTAGTCTTTCTACGCTTCTTATCACCCTTCTTCTGTGTCTTCGTGACAGCTTTCTTAGAGCCTTTCTTCGGAGCAGGAGCGGATTTTGCTGGTTCCGGCATTTTACAAGACTGTCTCTACCTGACTACCGCAGGAACGACGCAAGTACAATAGCGGCGACCCCCGTATTTATAGGGACGGTATGCAAATGAGATGACTCAGAGCTGTTCTTTCCTATTGGACACTCCGCGTCTGTGATGTCAAACTACGTGAACTCTCCGATTGGTCTCTCCTTCATCTGTCTTCCCATTGGTTAACTTTCCAATCGCAGTCTCCGCCAATCACAAGTCCCACGGAACCCCAGAAAGAAGGGATAAAAAGGTCGGGTGGAAGCGCTTCGTGGTGTTGCTGCTTTTTTCGTAGGTTTGAAGG